CAGAGTTCTCGACCCATTCCCCTGGACCGTTTTCTCATGTTGAGCCGTTTCTTGACTGTCCCGAGGGCCAGCAAGAGCTCCAGAGGCCATTCATACGGAAAATCTTCCCGTCATGATCTGTTCACGGCGCGACGAGGTCTGGGGGAGGAGGCGGAGGAGGAGGAGGAGGAGGAGGCGGCGGAGGATGCGAAGGAGGCGGAGGAGGAGGAGGCGGAGGAGGAGGAGGAGGCGGAGGAAGAGGAGGAGGATTTCTTCACTGCCCGAGGAGGAGGCGAAGGAGGAGGAGGCGGAGGAGCAGGCGAAGGCGGAGGAGGAGGAGGAGGAAGAGGAGGAGGAGGAGGAGGAGGAGGAGAGGAGGAGGCGAAGGAGGAGGAGGAGGCGGAGGAGGAAGAGGAGGGGGCGGAGGAGGAGGATGAGGAGGAGGAGGAGGAGGAGGAGGAGGAGGAGGAGGAGGAGGAGGAGGAGGAGGAGGAGGAGGAGGAGGAGGAGGAGGAGGAGGGGAGGAGGAGGAGGAGGAGGAGGAGGAGGAGGAGGAGGAGGAGGAGGATTTTTCACTGCCCGAGGGGGTCTGGGCCGAGCGCCCGCAATCGGCGCTGGGCCGCCTCCCGACCTCCGATCTCGGGGCCGCGACCGCGGGCCGCGCGCCGGCGCCGCGCGGCGGCCTCTGGCCCGGCGGCGAGCGCGGGGGGGAAGCGGGTCCTCCTCCTCCTCCTCCTCCTCGCCCCTCGCTCCTCCTCCTCGCCCTCGCTCCTCCTCCTCCTCCTCCTCCTCCTCCTCCTCCTCCTCCTCGCCCTCGCTCCTCGATCCTCCTCGACATCTTCGATCTTACACCTCGACCCTCCCTCGCTCCTCCTCCTCCTCCTCCTCCTCCTCCTCCTCCTCCTCCTCCTCCTCCTCCTCCTCCTCCTTCTCCTCTTTCTCCTCCTCCTCTTTCTCCTCAGCCCCCTCCTCCTGGAGGGAGGGGCCTTCTCAGATCTCAGAAGGCTCGGAAGGCCTCGTGCCTTCGGAGACGGTCTCGAGGCCTGCCCCCAAAGACGCAGGAGACTTCTCAGAAGGCCCAGGGGGCTTCTGAGAAGCCGCGCCGCCTTCTGAGCAGGCCGGGTCCTGTCGGACGCCTGGTGGCCGTTGGGCCATAACTTGTCACTCGTGGCCGTTCGGGACGGGCGCCCCTACAGCCCAAGCTCAGATTGTGCTGGCCCCACAGTCAATGTTGGTAACCTATTTTGAGAAGCTCCCCTGCGGCCGCCCCAAGGGTGGCCTCGGGGGAGTTTCTCGAAATACCTCGTACACCATAGAGGGTATCTCGAGGAAACTCCCCTGTTCGCACCTGCCTACGGACGATCTGGGCACCCCCCGCTCAGCAAGCCTTGCCACCCTCTCGCTCTTCCCCCCCCTGGGGCGCGGCTGCCGGCGTTCGCCCACAGCAGCCTCCATCGCCGCTCTCCGGTGGAGAGAAAGGCCTTGCGAGCACATTTTCGGATATCCTCGCTCCTCCTCCTCCTCCTCCTCCTCCTCCTCCTCCTCCTCCTCCTCCTCCTCCTCCTCCTCCCTCCTCGTCCCTCCTCGTCCTCCTCCTTCTCCTCCTCATCCCCCTCCTCCTCGTCCTCGGTCTAAAAAGTTTAAGGCTCGTCAGAAGGGTTTGATCCGTTGTCTGGCCTGTCAAGGTATTTGGCCCCTGGCTAGGGCCTGTGAGGTGGGCTACAACGTTGCGGACGTCTGCCAGTTGTGCCAGGCTCAGGGGGATACGTTGTTCCACAGGCTCTGGGAGTGCCCCAGCGTTGCTGAAGAACGTGTTGCCATCGTCCCGTATCAGTTTTTGCGTAGCATCTTGAGCACCGTGGAGAAGGCTGGTGGGAAAGCCCCGGTTGAGGTTGTCTCTGGACTTTTGCAACACCCTGCCGAAGTGGTTCCCCCACCGATGGCCGACCAGGGAAGCGGAGAAGATGGAGTACGCTCCAGGTTTTTCCCTGACGGCTTCGAGGCCGAAGGTTCGGCCGCCCCGCCCGAGGATTCCAGAGGTCTCTGGGGCCACCTGTGCTTGGACGGCTCCTGCTCTCCGCAGGGCCGCAGGGCCGTGGCGCGAGTCCAATGGTGCTGGGTGGGGGCTGGCCATGGCGTGGGCCGAACGGCCATCTTCTTGCCATGGCTTGGGGCCCTGTCTGGGACAGTTGTTCTCAGACGCCTCAGGCAGGAGACTTCGCGGCCTACGCGATGGCGGGAGCTCTCGCGTCTGGGCCGTCCCAGCTCTGCGCCGACTGTGCTACCGTCGTCAGCTGTGCACGGCATGCTTGACCTGTTGCGTCTCTCATCGAAGCGACCTTCTGCTGGGCTTGTGCTTCAGGGTCGTTCCCTCGGAGGTCAAAGGCTGCTTGGGTGTGAGAAAGCTCGAGCGCATCAGGCCATCGATGATCCTGACATCGATGAGGCCGTGCGCGTTCGTCGAAAGGGGAACGACGCGGCAGATCGTGCCGCGAAGCTTGGAGCTGCCATGCACCCGTTGCCGTCGGACGAGGAGTCCACGATGGCCGATCGTGCGCTCAGATGCGTCCAGCATCTGGTGCGTCTCGCAGCTGCTGTGTTTGCCCCCTTTGGCCCCGCGTCGGCCTGACGGGAGTCGAGTGGCACTCGCCTCCAAGTGGAGGTTTTGCGCGAGGCCCCCCGCTCCCCACACGTGGGTGTGGATGGTCCCGCCCGCCGGCACCCGGCGTTTTCGGCCGTGCTCTCTCTGCTTGAGGGCGGCGGGGGGAGCTCGCAGTGCTGAGCCTTCCCCTGGTCGTTGCAGCGGCGAGCCGGGAGTCGACGTGCAGGCTCTCCACGGCGTCCAGCACGCGTGCATCAGTCTCGACCGCTCGAGTGAGTCTCTGGTGGTCGCGTGTACTGTCTGTCGAGGGTGTACTTCAGGAGCCCGTCCTGCGAAGCTGGGCAGCCCGTGCACGGGACCACTTCAAGACAAGAAGACGGGTCCTGACTGCAAGTGCCGCCCTCATTGCTGGAATCCGGTTCGCAAGGGTCTCCACCCCAAAGAGAGCGGGGCCACCTTTCTGCAAGACACTCTGAGTGCGCTTAAAGCATGCAGCACAGCGGTCGTGCCCATCCTCCTCGTCCTCCTCCTCCTGCTCCTCCTCCTCCACCTCCTCCTCCTCCGGTGATCAACCTGGCCTGGCCAACCTCTCCAGACATGATCGCATCGTAGAAAATTAGAACTGGAGGTTCTTGGCCCTCTTCGGCTCTTGGGAGCCCTCGCCAGGCCTCGGGACCGTCAAAAACGATGCAGGATGAAAAACCTAGTCCCGTGGACAGGGTCGGGAACTTCTGGGGGCCCCGCATTGAACAAAGCAGGACGTCGCATGCTTGGGTCCTCGCTGGTGGTTGCTTTCTTACATTGTTTTGCCGATCGGCGCGGGCCCTTGGACCCCCCCCCCCCTCCCCCCCATGGAGTAGATCTTGACTGTGTTGACCACCTGTTCCGAGTAGTTTGGGTCTCCCCCATTAGGACGCACGATTACAAACAGTCGCACTAAGCTGAGGTCCGGAGCCAGACCCCCCCTCCCCCCTCGTTTCCGCCCAATTTTGAAACGCCGAATAAGAGAACGTTCGCATGGCGCGCCGTCGCCGCGTGAATCTGCCGTGGTAAGAACCTCAGCGTCAGAGTCATGAGCGTCAGCACCGTCGCCGTCAGCGTTGGACTCTGGCCCACGTCAGCGTCGACGCCGCCGCCGCCGTTATCGTCGTCGTCGTCGTCGTCGTCGTCGTCGCCGCCGTCGTAGTCCTCTTTCCTGGTCGGTTGGCCGCGCGCCAGCGGGCGCGCAGGGTGCCAATCGGAGTCCAGGGGGGCTTGACCCTCGCCGTGCGGCGGGGGGTGCCACTCCCAGACCCCCTTGGCGTTGCTGAAACATCGCGACGGGAGGCCCTTGGCTATTTTTCTGCCTCTCGGGGGCGCTTACCGGGACTCGGGACGTTCAAGGAACGACTCAGGATGAAAAACCGTTCCCGGGGGAGGGGTCGAGACCCCTGGGAGTGTCGACGTCGTGACAAAGACACGGCGCGGGGGATCCGCGCGGAAGGTGCCGTCGCGATGCGGCCGCGGCGGCCGCTGCGGCCGCCTCTGCGGCCTCGACGGTGGCCGCCGCTGCGGCTGCGGCTGCGGCCGCGGCGGCTCGGCACCTGCCGCGCGGAAGGTGCGGAAGGTGCATGTCGAGGGCCCGAGGTCCTTGGATCCGCTCTGAGCGCCGAAGAACTAACTTATGCACCGAGCCGTTCTTGGGTCGAGCATTGACGACGCCTCGGGAGGCGCCAGCGCGGCACGGTGCCGACAGGTCGTCCGCGGATGCCAAGTCTGGTGGCGGTGCATAGTCGTCGAGGAACAAATAATTATACAAATCTCAACATCCGAGAGTCCGCGCAGCATGTCTTGGATCGGCGCTGGAGCCCCCCCTTAGCTTCGCCTCTGGCGCCGCCCCTGGCGTGCTCCGTTCGCCAGGGAGGGGGCCCAGCGCAGATCCAAGAAGCCCGTGCGACCTCCGACAGACTGTGCTCGTGCTGCATGCCGCTCGCTCTGGCCTTCGTGCAGCAGCGCCCCAGGCGACGATTGATGCATCAGGTTCCGGGCCTGTTCGCGGGCTCTAGGCCTCCTAGCTGGAGTCCGAGTAGGTGTGGTCGGAGGATCGCTCTGCGTCGACGATGCATCGACGATGCGGCTCGATGCGGAACTTGATTTTCTCCACGCCTACGTCGCCAATGCGTCGCCGACGTCGGCGATGCATCGCCGATTCATCGGCGATGCGGCGCAATCCTCCAACCCAATCTACTCCGATCCAATCTAGGAGGCCTCTATGGGCGTCGCCGTCGTCTGTTCTTTCCCAGCAGCAGGGGAGTATATTTCAAGTCGCTTCCATATGTGTGTGTGTGTGTCTCTCGGCCGTCATCCTACTTCCCCTTCTTCCCCGTTCTGCCGTCGGGGCAAGTGCGGTATAGGCGTAGGTTGCTGTTTCTTCTCTGAGGACGTCCGCCAAGCTGCCCTGAGCTTGTCCCTGGGCTCAGCTGTGCCTGATCTTGCGAATCGTATTGGCGATGGTCAGACGCATTCTGATCGTCGATGCTGGGCGGCGATCGGGCCAATCGCCAGATTTGCCGAATTGGTTTGCTGTACGCGCCAGGCACGAATGGCCATCTGTGTGCTTGCGTGTAGGCAGACCGTAGTTGAAGCCTCTGATCCTCGCCACACCTCGGACTGCAACCTCGTGCTCAGTCGGGCAATTGTTCGGCAGTGTGGTAGTGAATCTTGTGGAGGCCGATGAAGGTGGGCTTTCCAAGGTTCTTCATTCACCCACTGTTCAGCAGCCAGGACCAGGCGGGGAAAAACCGACTCAGGTTGCCTCGGTAGTATCAGAGAGAGCACCGCTCTATCACTCCGCTTACTTGGCGCGCCATCTGATGATATGGTTTCCGTGTCTTCGCGTGTTTTCTTGTGGGAGAAAGGGGCCTCGGGTGCGGAATTGCAGTGTACCGGGGGGGGTATGTAAAATTGTTATGCTTCTGAGCTAGTCGCCAGGGAGGATCGCTGCACGGTGCGGAGCACTCCTGACAGGAGGCCTTTTTCGTGAGCTCCAGAGAGGGAGAGAGCGAGAGAGAGAGACAGAGAGACAGAGGGAGAGAGAGAGAGAGAGAGGGAGGAAGCGGGAGAGAGGGGAGGGAGGGAGGGAGGGAGACAGATCGCAGGCAGGCAGGCAGACAGACAGGGGCGGAGCACCGCGCGAGCAATCGCGCTGAGCAGACCCGGGAACGCGGCGGAAGCCCGCCAGGCGGGTGCCCAGAATGCGGGGCGTCGAGCTGCTCTCGGGAGGCGCGAGCGCGGGACTTCACCAGAGTTTCGCGGGGCCCGGGCCCGGCAGGAGGCGGCCCGCTCCTAGACGAAAAGCCGACCACGGCATCCCCGGCACAGCGAGAACCGAGCGATGTCTGGGCCAGCGCCCACGCACACTCCTCCTCCTCCTCCTCCACCTCCTCCTCCTCCTCCTCCTCCTCCTCCTCCTCCTCCTCCCCCTCCTCCTCCCCCTCCTCCTCCTCCTCCTCCTCCTCCTCCTCCTCCTCCTCCTCTTGTGACCAGCGCGGCTTCTGGGAGCTCTCAGGCCGCCCTCCTCTGCGCCTGAGCAGCGCAGTTCGGCCGTGACCCGACCTTGCGATCTTCTGGGAGCTCGGGCTTCTTGGGTCGCTAGTGCTTCGGTTCGCAGGGCGAGCTCTCTTGAGATCGGTCCGAGCTGCCTGGAGGCGAGCGCTGCACGTATGCAGCACAGTGGGCACATCAAGTAAGAAACCGGCTTGCCTGCATGTGCCCCACGGACATGTCGTGTGTTTTGAAGGTCTGTGGGACGGAACCGCAGGAGGAAGTACGCACCGCAATGCGGCCGCGAGCGAACACAATGATACTTCCGCATCCGTGGGCGGCCTCGCGGACTGGGCCCCAGGGGCACGACCCCACAGATACGGAGCGTTTTTTCGCGGATGCCCCGCGCGGATCGCATCCGCGCGCGTGCGACCGCGTCCGCGGGATCGCGCCCCGGAATCCAGACCGCGAGGGCGCGGATACGAGTACATTCGCCGCTCGTGATTGGGAAGTGCACAGTCTATGTTCGAATGCGCCCCTGGATTTCCTATCGTATGTGCCCACTGGCGCACTTCTACCAGAGGACAGCAAGATGGTCCTCAAGAACACCTCCGCGTGCGAAGCGCTCCTCGGCTTCTACAGCCCCCTGCAGGAGCACTGGTCCAGCGTGCGTGAGATCCCCAGTGGCCCGATCGCTGCGCGGCCCACTTGCATCCGGAGGAGGCCAACTTGCCAGAACGAACCATGGCATAAACAGTGACATCCGGGCGTCCACGCGGATTCCCTGGATCGGCGCTGCCCCCCCCCCTCCGTGGCGCGCGGAGCGCCAGGGGGGAGGGGGAGGAGGAGGAGGAGGAGGAGGAGGAGGAGGAGGAGGAGGAGGAGGAGGAGGCACCAGAGGCGCCGCCAGTCGGGCTCCAGCGCCGATCCAAGACATCCGCGCGGACCCCTGCATGCTGAGATTGATGGCGTTCGTTGTTCCTCGACGGCCGTGCACCGACACCAGACTTGGCATCCGCGGATGACCTGTATGCACCGTGCCGCGTGAGCGCCTCCCGAGGCGGCGTCGATCCTCGAACTGGGGACGGTGCGGTGCATGTCGGCGGCGAGCGAGGGGGGGAAGCGAGAAGGGGCGGGCCTCCTCAGAATGCTCGGAGGTCCTCTTGCCTTCGAAGAAGTTGTCTAAACCTTCCCCCAAGACACTGAAAACTTCTCAGAAGGCGCGAGGGTTTCTGAGAAGTCCCGCCGCCTTCTGAGAAGGCCTTCTCCTTCTCAGTTCCCCCCTCGCTTGCCGCCGAGCATAGTTCTTCGGCCCTCAGAGCCGAACAACTGTGCACTGTTCAGCGTTGGAGCGGCGCCTGAAGGGAGTCTAGCCATGGTGAGGTGCATGGGCGCTGTTCTCGTAGCTTGGCAGTCTGTGGGTGGGAAACGTCTCCGTATCCGCGGCCTCGCAGGTTGGGCCCCAGGGCCGCGACGCCGGGGATACGGGGCGTTGTTTCGCGGATGCCCCGCGTGGAACGTATCCGTGCGACCGCGTATCCGCGATATCGCGCCCCGGAATCCAGACCGCAAGGGCGTGTTGGGCGTCGCGTAATGGGGGGCGATGAAGTGGGGGGGCAGCGAGGGCTGCAGAAAAAGGGGCCTTCAAGGGCCCCTAGAGGGGCCTTCAAGGGCCCCAAAGGGAGCCCTTTAGGGCCTGAGGAGTGCACCTTTCTTCTCGCCCCAGTGTGTCGCCCAAGCGTGGAACATGGATACGTTCCAAGATCCCCGACGATGTGATGTTTTCACAACGTCGACCCCCAAAGGCCTGGACCCCTTCTCCGGGACCGGCTTTTCATCCCGAGTCGTTTTTGTTGACGGTCCCGAGGCCGGCTGAGGGCCCCCAGAGGCCGAAGATAGCGAAAGACCTCCCGTCGTGATTTTTGCTGCACAACGCGAGGGGTCTGGGTCTTTCCTTCTTCTGATAGGAGGAGGAGGAGGAGGAGAAGGAGAAAAAGGAGGACGAGGAGGAGGAGGAGGAGGAGGAGGAGGAGGGGGAGGAGGAGGAGGAGGAGGGGGAGGGGG